AAGATGGGGAGGTTCGTGGCCAGGTGGTTGGGACTGAGGAGAGGGGCAAAGGGGGTTATGATGGAGGAGACCAGGGAGCCCAGAAGACGGGCAGGGAGATGATTTTGCAAGAAGCAGGAGACTTGAGGAAATGAAAGCCGGAGACAGCCTGAGAGAGAGGAAGGAGGCAGACTGGGCCAAGTCCCTGCTGCAAGAGGAACCTCATCCCTCTCCTGTGATTCCTGGGCTTTGCTTAAAGGGAAAACGCCTCCCTAACTGCCTCCTTCAGGAGTGGCACCGGAGGAGCCCCTGCGGGAGCTGACTGTGGCCAGTTGTGATCATGAGCACTCTGCATTCCAGAGTCAGTTTGCAGATGAAGTCGGGCCTGTCGTGTTTGCCAATCCTGTTTGAACCATCACGCCCAACAGCTGCAGGTGCTGACCTCACTTCCTTCTTATCAGTTAGCATCAATCAGTGTCACCCAGTCAATGCCAGTCCATATCAGTCGGTATCTGTCAGTCAATGTCGGTGTCATCTAGCCACTTGTGAGTCATCGGGTCAATGTCACTGTATCTGTGTCAGTCAGTCCATCCATGTGGGTGTCAGTGTCCGCCGGTCAGTGTCTGTCAGCCAGGATATGCATGACACTCACTTGACCTCTGACCATGGGGCCCATTTCCCTTTTTATTTGTTTACCCAGCACCTTTCCTATTTCTGGGAATTAGGATCCATGTGTCCCTCTTCCTGAAGATAGAACTCAGGTCAAATTAATTCCTGAGCTGGGTCAGGCCCCTGGTTTCCAGCTGGGCCTCCGGCAGCCAGGTGAGTTGCCAGGATTCTGGGAGCTTTCTGAGCCCTGTTCAGAGGGGAGTCGAAGGGCTGGTGGTGCTCATCTGAGCCCAGCTCTAGGACTGGCATAATTACCAGGTGATACCTCAGGCCCCACAGCAGCAGGCTGGCCCTTCCACCTTCCTCCCATGGAAGGTTGTGCTGTCTGTGGATGGGCAGACTCGAGGGAGGCTCTTCCTAACCCAGCTCTTCTTTTTCAAATAGGACCAGAGCTGAGTCGGGGGTAAGGATGGGCCCTTGGCCCAGTCCCCAGCATTAAACTTTATTATGAGTCTGTGTTTTGTCTGCCTGAACAATATCTCCCTTTMTTTGAGAGAACTGCTCATTCCCTGCTTGCACCCCCGTCTTCCCTGTGGGCTTGTGCAGGAGCTCACAACCACAACACAGGCCTTCATTCTAGCCAGAGGTGGGAGTGAGACCCAGTCTGGATTAATCTGAGTACTTCCTTATCCCACAGTGATTGGGCCAGGGATGGTCACGTGACCCAAGCCCAGCCACTCGGAACCCATCCCCAGAATTTCTCAGAAGCCGCCTCCTAAGTCCTTTAGCTGGAAGGATATGTGCTGGCCAGCAGAATGGCCCTCATTGTGTAGGGGAAGCTTCGAAGGAGACAATAAACAGAAGGAGACAGGTGTAGAAGGAAACAGACAAGAGGAGACTGACAGGGTTTCCAGCAGCTAATTCCAGTCAACCCCACAGCTGCCTCCATCCCTGGCCCCCTGCCATTTGGTTTTGTGAACCACAGTTGTAGCCAGAGAACCTTGCCTAATACAAACAGTATAACTGCTGCCAGTTTTAGGCATCTGACCCATTCGGAAGTAGATGAACCAGTTTGAGATCTTCCCAAGCCCCACAACTTCTACCAGGGAACCCCTCAGTCCTCAGGTAGATAGAGTGGGCAGACCCTCAAGTAGAGGCCTGGCCCCAAAGCTCCTGCCCCCAAAGCTCATGGCCTTTCCTAGCTGGTGGGTGTGTGCATCCTGGGCTCTGACCTCCTTCACTCAGTGTTTTGTTATGAACACACTTTAGGAACTGAGGCTGTCCTTTTGCTTACCTTGTTGGTGACTCCAGGTCGGCTGGCTTCATAGACATATGACCTGTGCAATGATCACACAGGGTCTTGCCTTTAGAAGTACCTCATGATGTTGTGCTGCCATCATCTTGAAATTCTTAACCATTTTGAACAAGGGGGCCTACATTTTAATGTTGCACAGAGCCCCACAAACTATGTAGCCGGTCCTGGCTCCATGCAGTCCCTCCTGGTGGGATTTGTTATGTACGAGAATTGCTCCAGCTCCCACAATCTGTTTCCACTGCCCCCGTCTTGTGTCTTCCATATTCCTTAATGCCATTGGCTTCCCTCACTSCCCACCCCTCCATCAGTGGACTTTCCTCCCAGAATGCAGCACATCTGTGGCCTCCTTCAAACTGGACCCACCCCAGCTGGTAGCTGGCTCATTGCTCTCCATCTGAGAGAAAATGAAAAATCCAGGCTGGAGTTCATTTTATTTGGAACAATGCCGAAATGAGGCTTTTCTTGCTTCTACCCTTGAACCACCCACATTCTGCAATTTGGCCTTGAACCTTCTAGACAGAGTCCTCTGGGAAGGCTGAGCTGGGGCAAACACAGCACAGCCTGAGCTCCTCTGAGAGGGCAGGCAAGACCTCTGCTGCAGGTTTCGACAAGAAGGACTGCTTTGTAGGTCTGTAATGAGGAGTTTGAAAGTCTAGCAATCAGGTGAGCGTCTGGGTCCTTGGGGATAGCCTGCTGAACAGCCAGCAAAGGTGTGTGCCTGGCTCCTTCTCCGAAGGAGGGAAAAAAGTGGATTCTAGCCTCTCATATCCACTCCCAAGGGAGGAATAACACTGAACAGCAGCTGTGAAACCAGCCATGGCCCCAGGCTTCACACCCCGGGGACTGACTGTGAAAAACCAGTGGAAAGCGGAGGGAGAAACTGATTCACAATTTGACAATGGAGTCCAGGTGTGGTAAAAGTGATTTATTTCTGGAACACAGTAACAGCTATGCAACTAGGAACATTCCATTTACCCGACCCATCCGTGTTTTTGTGTCACAAAGACATACTAAGACTTTGGAAATTTTCCAAAGGGGATTACACTTGAAATGTGCTGTTTCTTCACTTTTTTTTTTTTGTACTTGTCTTAATCACAGCAAACCAAGGAAAATAGCTTTACAGCTTACTAAAACTCAAACATATCCTCATAGGAAGCAGCTTAAACCTTTCCAACTGTAAATTAGCAATGCAGTGATTCCCCATCAAAAGCCAGGGAAACAGAAAGCAGCTCTAACACTGAGCTTATCTTGTCCATTGTGAGGAGAATCTAAATGATACAGGATGATAAAGCAACACTGCAGGTGCAGCGTCCACTGGGAAAAAGAGGTAGGGAACAGATCTGGCTGAAACCATCCTGAGAATCTGATTTTTGTTTGTTTGTTTATTTTTCCTTATTTATTTGGTTGTTTCAGCACTAGGGATTGAACCAAAGACCTTATGCCTGCTAGGCAAGTACCCTATCATTGAACTGCATCCCTAGCCCATTTTTAAAATTTATTTTGAGACAGAATCTAGCTAAGTCGCCTCAGATGCTTCAAACATGCATTCCTCCAGCCTCAGGCTCYCTGAGAATCTGACTTAAAACAAGGAAGAAGTCACAGGAAAGCATAACATTGCTTATAACTCCACGGGGCAGCATTTACCATAAACGACAGGGTTTATAATAACCTAGAAATCCACCGGAAAGAGTTTCCCAGTGTGTTTGCCAGATAGCAGGAACTTGCAGGTGTTGGGGACTGGATCTCCACCGGCAGGTGCCTCACCTGCTCTCTGGATGGCTGGGTTACCAAGTCTGCAAATGCACACCTGGAGAACTGCCACTGTACAGAATGGGTGGGTGCCACCCGGCAATGCCAGGGCCCCTGAGGATGCAGGGGTCCAGGTCTAGTGGCACTGTCTCATTTCTTGTCTCTAGCTAACAGGTGGGCCTCTTTCCCCCAAGCCCCAGAGCAGTAGCAACCTGAAGAAGCAACACAAGTGGGAAGTGGTATAAACCTCCAGGAGAGCCCAGCTCTAAACTGATTCATCTGAAGGCTTTTGAGGGGAAAAAAAAAAAAATCTTGATTCTTGGTCACCTGTTTATTTTAAGTGTGGCTTAGAAGGGCTTGTTCTGGAAATTACCATGATGGATGACTGAAAAAAAAAAAAAAACAGAGGCAAAACCCTGAGTGAAGCAGTGTGTGTGTGTGTGTGTGTGTGTGTGTGTGTGTGTCTGTGTGTGTGTGTGTGTGTGTGTCTGTGTGTGTGTGTGTCTGTGTGTGATGTGTTATATTTGAGTGTGATGCTTGGTGTGATATGTGTGTGGAAAGCCGGTGAAGTCCCCATGAGCAGACTCTCAGGATCATATACACCTTAGCCCAGCCCAGCCACACAAGGCTAGGTTCCCCTTGTGAGGGAGGTTAGCAATAGCCAACTTCCAGATAGCAGAACCTCCCCAGGCCATCTGACTACATCTTTCAAACACTTCTTGAGGCAGTGAAATTCAAGATTCTTTAGGAGTCTCTAACAAACTTTTGACCATGACCCAAACTAAGTTTACACATTAACGAGAGTTAATACGCAGTCTGAGTACATGGATTGTGCTATGATAGTTCCTATTCTGCTGTCTGTGTTTGGTGGTGACCCGCTTGTGGACACTACTTATACGGAGACACAAACACAGCTTTGTTTAGAGCTTGGTGTGGTGAAGCAGCCCCGTAATCTCTGCAACCCCAGAGGCTGAGCCAGGGGACCAAAAGTTCTATCCTAGGTAGTTTAAGAGACTCAAGTCTCGACATTTTAAAAAGGGCTGGGGGTGTAGCTCAGTGGCTGGGTTCAATCCCCAGTATCCAAAACAAACAAACGAAAAATAAACGCTTTATCTTGGACCAAGCACTGGAGCTGCAGTAAAACCTGCAGTCTTCCAAGCACATCAGAAACCACTCCCTCCACACTGCAGGCCCAGACCTCAGCGACAGTCCTCAAGTGAGCAGCGGGAAGCAGGCTCCCCTGACCATTTTACCCGATGGCAGGGGAGGGGGCTGCTCAGGCCCAGGCTGGCAACTGTTAGTTCACGAGCCCYAGCGGCAAGGCCATTCCGTGCCGTGGATGGGTCCCTTAGGGGTTTCCCAGTCGCGCGTCAGCCCCTTGGGATCGCTGCAGGAGAATGATGATCCTGGCCAGGTCGGAGAGGGCGGGGAAGGACGCCATCACGCTGTCCACCTGGTCGGGAGGGAAGACGCTACAGAGCGCAGTGCGCTCACGGGCGCGAGCGTCCACCTCTCTGTCCACGGCCCTGGGAGCAGACCCCAGAGTTGCCCCAAAGGCGCCGTCGCCCCAGGACGGCTCCGCCCAGACCGAGCCACCCAGAAAGTGCTCGGATCCGGACAGATCGGCCCACGGGTCCTCGGGAGGTCTGCGCTGGGGCAGCAGGTCACCGCGCAGGTCCCGGGGCCCAAGTCCGCCCCGCGCCTGAACTTGCGGCGACGGGAGGTCGCCGGGGACGAAGGGGCTCTGCGGTCCTGGGAGGCTGCGCAGGCCCGGCGCCAGCGCCCCAAGGCCGGGAGGCCCCGGRGTGGCAGAGATGCCCGCCGGCGAGGAGGAGGGCCCGGGCGCCCAGTCAGAACCGCGAGGCCCGAGCGCGAAGCCGCCGGCGGGGTCGTCGCTGAACGCCAGCCTCGAGAAGCTCGCGCGCAGGGCGGCCAGGTCCGCGGCCCCCGGCGCCCGCGGGAGGCAGTGAGCGCCGGGTTCCCCGGGGAGCGGCCGGGCTGCTGCGGGGCCGCCCCGGGCGCTCGGCGGCCGCGGCTCCTCGGCGGCCCCTCCGGGCCAGGCCCGCGTCTTGGCCCGGAGCTCATCAGCCACAGGCAGCTGCGCGTGGTGCGGCCTCTCSGGGTGGTAGAACTTGCACTTGATGCCGTAGGTGCATTTCTTGCCTGGAGGGGCAGGGCAGAGAGGACGCAGGTTGAGAGCGGGCGTGGAGAAGCTGTGCACTCGGCCCCTGGTCTCTCTCCTTGGAGATTCCTCCCAGAAGGCCCCAGACCACCTCAAACTCTGCCTCCTTAGAGAAGGGCCTGAAGATCTGGACTGGTGACTAACGGGGGAGGGGTTCTGGAGCATGGGCAAAATGTCTCGTGGCACATGGGGCACAATAACTCCCAAGGTCCGCAGAGTGAGCATCCGTGCAGGAGCTCTCTCTGACCAGGGTCTGACACCAAATTTCTGGATCTGCTGACCTTCAGCGTGTACTTCCTAGGGGACCCTGTGCATAGGACCGACCTTGAAGATGTGTGGGGAGCAGGACTGCTCTTCCGGCGCTGCCACAGTTTCCACCACTGTCTGCAACCCTGGTTCTAACCACTGTCCTCTCCCTACACACTGTTCTAATAGAGGTAGTCAAATGACAAATAATTGATCATCCAAGCCCAGGCATTTTAGAGCTTAACGGTCTAGCCTGAGATATGGTTACCTTCATTCTAGCCAAAAAAAAAAAAAAAAAAGGCTTTTGAGTGCCATCCAAGGTTTTTAATTAGACTTCTGGAAGCACAAAATCAAGACCTGGAGTCATTGAATAACTTGCCAAAGCAGGTTAAAGAGCTTGCTAGAAGGCCATCCTGGATAAAATCCTTGACTTCATGGATAAGGTGTATAAGGGCCTGGGAGAACCGTGGTGCAGGATGAAGACATGAGGTGTGAGTGGACCCGGTGAAGAGACTGAGAACTGAAGCTCGAATCCCCACCTCCCTCCTTCTCACACACAACACAGCCATGCCTGTGTCTGAGTCCTACATCCAGCCCTCAGACATTCCTGACAGGAAATAGCAGTCCAGAGAAGCTAAGCTATCTCTTCAGGGTCACACAGCTGGTTAAGGATAGAACTTGAGCTGGAACCCAGACTCTGTCAGGCCAGGACTTTTGGGCTGCCCCACACTAGTCCCTGAAAAGGGCCCATGAGGCCCAGGGGGCTACACACCATAGGGGCAGTGCTGCCAGGATGGCTCTGGAGGCCTCGGCTTCCTGCTCAGGAAGTTGCTCAGAGTGGGTCCACGGCGGCCCAGAGGGTCATCAGGAGGCATAAATCTAGAAAATAAGCACAGAGGGGCATTTGCAAGACCACAGTGGGACTGGCCACTGGCATCTATATGGGGATTGAAGCCACCCAGAAAACACCAAATGACATAGACCATCCGTCCCCACAGGGAGTTGTCATAGCATCTTAAAAAGCACACCCTTTCTCTACTGAGCCCACGCAGAGCACAGCACCTCTCCTTGAAGCTCCTGCTAATGTGGTGCAAGCCAGCAGGATTAGAGTCACCTGGAAACTTGTTTAAAGTGCAGTCTCTGGCTTCCTCCATATCTCCTTCATCAGATTCTGAAACTGTTAAGGACTYTGTATTTTAACAATTTTTTATCCAGGAAAATTGAGGTATAATTGCTCCAGGCTCACCGCAGCTTCCCGTTGTCCTGATTCAAGATTAGGAACCTCTATGGGGTTAACAGCTCATGGAAGGTTTTGGACTTGTACCAGCAACTTGAAGCTTGGGCCCCTATGTCCTGTGGGCCTCACACCATAGCAGTCTCAGCTCAGGGCATGTGCAGGCCAAGGGTCAGCACTGCAGAGTCTGAAACACCAGCAGTGAATGGGCGAAGATGCAGATTCAGAGCCCGCTGCACACGGTGCCTCGGCACCAATGGCCTGTCCTCTGCATACCCCAGGGGCTCYGGCTTGGTCTCAGCTCCTGAGGCTGCCACACTCTGCACGGGAGGTTTTCTGATACCAGTTTTGCCCCTGCCTGCCCCCTCCTCCTCCCTGGAGTGGACCCCTGACAAGAAAGGGAATGCACCCTCAGTGTGCCTGGGTCTCAAAGGGGAAAACMAAACTCCTCAGAAGGAAGACTCCCATTTAGTGAGATACATCTTTTTCAGTGGATGCTCCTGTTCCCGCGAGACACTTCCAGACACTTCTACAAATCCATACAAAGGTGGAGGGGCTGTTTTCATGAGTTGCTGCCCGCCCCCCCCCMAAAAAAAAGTCAAAGAGTCATACTGAGGTCCCACCCTGCAGAGAGCTGGCGATTCCCGGCTCTGCACAGCCTCTGTGGCTCAGCTCCCAGCTACACAGCGGGCTTCTCAGAGTTGGGTCCTGACCAAGAATCTGGGGAGCCGCCCACTGCGGTTATTAAAAGTTCCCAAAGGCTTCGCCTCCTGTTCCCTCAGGAGCCAGAACTGTGCCAAGAGGGCCYTGTGGACGTGCCCAGGACACCAGGGTGAGTGACCTCACTCACAGGCAGGCAGGCCCTGCCTTCTGGCTGCCCCTGAGCAGAGGCCAGTGCATCAGGAGGACTTGGCCTGGGCCACTGTCACCAGGCCAGCAGCAGCCATGACCCACCAGCCCTCAGTGAGGATTTCTGGAACCCACAGTTACCAGACTTGCCAGATTCCTCTAGGCCAACACTGGACAGGGAGAGCCGCTGGCCTTGTGCATCTGGAAGCAACAATAGGGTTACTTCGGGGTGGCTGCTGCCGAGCACCTGCCCTGGGGCTCAGGAAAGCGCTTCACCTCCTCTGCTGCAGGAGCAGGCGGTGAAGGACATCCTGGTCTGGCCTGGGAATAACTGCTCTTATGTCTGGGGCACAGTTCTCTCTAGGCCTCATGATAATCTCACAGGTACTATTACTAATCCCTTCTCAAGGTGAAGAGTCCCCGAGGTGACTGATTGCTCCATGCCACACCACCTCGCAGGGCAGGGGCTCAGTTGGAAACCTCCACCACACCACACTGCCTTTCTGCTGCTCTGTTGTGGGCAGGTGGCCTGAGCCCAGCCTACARGGCCCTCCTCTCCCCTCCTCCTCCCCTTCCTGGAGCCACATGCTCACTCAYGCACTCACACGCTCATTCACTCCTGTACCACCAGTTATGATGTGCCCATTATGTGACAGGCATGCTGGGGACGTGGCAGGTAGACAGTTACAGTCCCTGCCCTACACATTCTGAAAGAGCCCAGAATGAGAGCTGAGCTGTCAGTGCCTGCAACACTAACTGCAGTGGGAGCCCAGGCTGCTGTGTGCTGCACCTGTCCAGTCCTCAGACAGGCCCCCTGTCCAGGCCCCCCGGTGCCTGCCCCAGCAGAAGATGAGCCATCAATTCCTCCCCACCTTTGCTTAGGCCCAGGGCTTTCCGGTTTGTGCCTTGCGATCCTCATGTCCTTTCCCTTCCCCCAGCAGTAGCAGGTTGGTCCCAGGCTTGCYTAACTCAGAGGACCAACCTAGAGACTAGGCAAACCGGTAGGTTCTCCTGACTGTTTCAACCAAGAGGTGTGGGAACAGTCAGTTCCTGGCAAGTTAAGATCTTTGCAGCCCAAAGAAAAGATCTGTTTGACTGCACATTCCCACATGTAATTAAAAACTTAAAAAAAAAAAAAAACTTGAAATAAGTGAATGGAAATACAACAGAGTTCAATATTTTCCCATGATGGCTATTCCAGAATTCTTATTTAAAAGATTAAGTTCTAAAACAAAAAAGTTTGTGGTGGGCTAAGCATCTGCAGCTTTGCAGTGACTCAAGTAGACGTGACCCTGGGAACTTCAAGGTCAAGGACAAACTGCCTGTGGAGGAAAGAGCCTAAGAGAGAAGACACCCAGAGAGACAAGTGACAGGGCAGCCTGGGAAGGCCGAGTGGGTGAGCTCAGGCTGACTGTGTCTGCAGGTCTGGATGTGCCCACCACCAGGAGCCCACTTTGCCAGGACCTGGGACTGGCTTTCTGCCTTCTCCCCAGTCCCCCCAGACCCCCAGGCCCCGTACCTATCATTGACAAAGGAGAACATGAGGAGCCTCTGCTCAATAAACCACTTCCACTCTGGGTTCTCATTCTGCAGGTCACGGTAGTTGTCATTGGAGACGATGATGCCGTCCTTCTCGTAGGCCACCTTTACGATGTAGCGGTCGTCATAGCAGACCACCCGCTTGCCGTTCACCTTGCGGGACGGGGTGTACACCAGCACTGCCTGCCGCTCCAGTTCCTCCAGAACGTGCTGCTCTGGGGCCACACACGGAGAAGCACATGAGGTCTTTTGGGAAAGGACACTTGCCCCATAGACCAGGGACCTCCTTGAGCCTTCCTGCCTCCCCCAACCCCAGCTGGTTAGATGGGGGCAGGGAGGTTTTTCAGGGAAGGGAAAAAAACACCAGTTGCCATCCCCCCCCATTCCCTAATGTTCATTTCTTTMATTAAATTTCACTGAGTTTACCAGTGGCCCAAGGTCAAGGGGGCTCTTAGCTTGGGTCCTGCCCTTGATGGAGTCCAGAAAATGGTACCCAACAAGGGAGAGCCCCTTCCGAAGGAAGATTTTAGCCTCAGCCCTGCTGTTTTCAGAGTTACAAGCCACATTGGCTCTACTATAGCAGACAGAGGCCTTCTGGAGAGGTTTGCTCCTGTTTGAGCAGAACCCTGTGAAGATGGACCAATGATTAGCAGCCTGGCTTCCACCGGCAAGTTTCCTGTGAGGGCCCTTCAGTGTAACCACGGATCCTCCTTCCCTACCACTCAAGAATCTGCTTGGCCAACATTGAACATCCCACCACCGACATCTCTGAGTGACTCGAGAATGTAATGGAAGAATCTGGAACTAAGAATGCACAGGATGCTGGGCTGAGCTCCAGTCTTTATCCCTCCCTAATGTCAGATGTTACCTTCATAAAATGAACACAGTAACGTCTCCTTTACCTTTCTCACAGTGCTCAGGTGTGGGAGAGTTTTTGCAAAAACTAGGAAGGAAATGGACATGTGTCACTGGTGTAAGTATCTCCAGTCTTTCCTATGGGATTGAAGTTGGCATCCCAGGAAAGTCTAATGTTTGGTCTTAGATTTGCCTTTGGAGACATGCAAGGAAAATCCCTGCCACACATAATAGTTATTTGGCACTTGGAAGGGTATTAGCCTATTCTTTATATATTTTTCTTCCCTCTAGTCTAAGTACTTTCCAATCTGACATGATTTCCAGACTTGAAAAAAGATACAGAATGCATTGGTGGAACAAAGTACAATAATAATAATAATGTTGTGRACTTTGAGAAGCAGAAGGTGGGGTCATGCTCGGGAAGTCCCTAGTGCCCCTCCCAGTTGACAGTCCACTCCATTCCCCTCAAGATGGCCCACGTTCTGCAAGTGAGTGTTTATAATTCCTTTACTTTTATTTTTAGAAATACATATGTACAAGGACCATTTTCATTGTGGTGACAAATCAGACCCGTCACACGTGGCACATCCTACACAGGCACTTGCCCCGCTGCTGTTTTCATTGATCAATGTGTTTTTGARGTTTGGTCACATGGCCAATATGTTCACTGCTATTAGTTTTTATGTAAGTCCCTGGCACAGAAGTCCAAGGAACTCTCCAGAACATGTCTCTAAAAATTTTCCCAACTTGGTGAGTACAAAACAGCCTCTTATGGTGGTTTTATTTTGTGTTTCTCTGGATACTAATGAGATTGAGCACCTTTCCTGTTTTTATTAGTCATTTATGTCTTCTTTTCTGCAAAAGCCTTATTTATGCTTTAGCTCATCTTTTTATTGGTTCATTGTTCTTGTCGCATTAATTTGGAGAAGTTCTTCACAGATGCCCCAGTTTGAAGTTGACCTTTTTTTCTTTCCTTCCTTCTTTTGTTTCCTTCTTTTTCTTTTTTTTAATGGTAGCTCTTAATGAACAGTTTTTATTATGTAGTCAGATTTATTTATCTTTCTCCAATAGAACTGCTCTTGTTGTAGCTTGTTAAAAATTCCTTCTCTACTCCAAAATAATTTTCCCCATTCTTTACCTATATATATATTTCAATATCACATAACTGAATGGCTTAAACCTACCAGTATCCTTGTTTAGAGCATAAAGAATTCTTTGGGTAACCAATTCCYGATGGAGAACAGAATGCAAGTATGTATCCCTTTCTCATAAATCCCATTGAAATGACAGTTTAAAAGGTGGGAGATCCATAATCACATTTAAAATGGGCTTGAAGACAGCAGTAAAGCCAGGGTTTGGACAAATTTTAGGAAGATAGAAAGCAGGGAGGGACATACTAACCCTACAGCATAGAGGGACCACAGCCCAGAGTGTGGAGAAGACTGAAGCAGACATGGGAGTCATTTCCCCTGTGAAGCTGCAAAACACTCTAGGCGTGGCCTGGGTGGTAGGCGGGCTGAGKCAGGATGGCTAGTGCAAGGGCTCCTTGCAGGGAGTTGCTCATGAACCTGTACTCACTTCCTAGCCCTATTGCCATAAAAAAAAAAAAAAATGAAGGCACAGCTAGGAAGGAGTAAGCGTCTCATTGTTTCAATCTGCTAGAATAAAACCCTCATCATTTTGTCATTGGAATATGTGACAGGCAGAAGTGCCTTACTGCCTGCCTGCTCCATACAGGGTATGCAGAAGTGAGACCTGCCAGTCAGCACCAAGAGTCAGCCCTGAACAATCCCATTCTAGGAGAACACTCATCCCAGAGGCTCGAGAGTTCAAAGCCAGCCTCAGCAACTTAGCAAGGTCCCAAGCAACTCAGCAAGACCCTGTCTCAAAATGAAATATTAAAATRGGCTTCTTGGGAAGGCACCTCTGGGTTCAATCTCTGAAACAAAAAGGGGGAGGGGAGAAAACTCATAGCACTTGCACAGGTATGTATTTAACCAATCTAGCTCTTTATTCACAATTAAAACGTATATACACAGATCACCAGAATTTTGAGAGAAAAATGAGAGGGGCGGGGCTGGAATGAACAAATATAAGTGACCCCAGAAAAATTTAGATAACATTTGTGAAAATGATGAAAACTTTCTTTAAAAGTCTATATAAGTTTATAGAAATATTCAAGAAGAGCCGGGAGCAGTGGCACACGCCTGTAATCCCAGCAGCTCGGGAGACTGAGGCAGGAGGATCGTGAGTTCAAAGCCAACCTCAACAATGGTGAAGCACTAAGCAACTTGTTGAGACCCTGTCTCTAATAAAATACAAAATAGGGCTGGGGATGTGGCTCAGTGGCTGAGTGCCCCTGAATTCAATTCCAGGGGCCAAAAAAAAAAAAATCAGAAATATTCAAGAACATACCGCATCCACAGAACAAGAACAACATTWTGTTTACAAAACAAAGAGAGATTAATAGAGAAGTAGCAGCAAGTGGTAACCATTAACAGATTAAAAACAAACCAAAGACAAAAACCTCTGGTGAAAGATGAGAAGAAACAGTCAAGGAACCCTCCCAGGCTGACCAGGGGCCAGCCCTCCCGTGTCAACTATGAATCCACACTGACAGCACCTCAGTCTCTTCTTGTTATGAGAGCTGAATAACAAACAAAACCCTGCTTGTTGAAACCACAGTGGGCTATTATTTGTAACTTAAAATAGCCCTAGCTTATTTGAGAATTAAAACTAAAGAATGTCCTGGATCTCAATTTCCGTTTTTTTTTTTTTTTTTTTTTAATGAAGAGACTAGACTAGGTATTCAGTAAATAATAAACATTCAGATTCTACAAACTACTAAGGATGGGATACAGAGCTGGTCTTTCTTCAGAGTGCTAAAAGTCATAACTTTGGGAACTTAATCCTTCTCAGTAAGCGAGTCCTATCATTCATCTATGCAATAGCTATTGATTAAGCACCGAYCCTACATGAAGGGTGCTGGGTGCTAGGGCTAGGTGCTGAACAGCTACATGGGGTTTTTAGTGTAGGGAGGCAGACAGACATTGCTARACCAGTAACGTAACAGAGCCACCACTGCAGAGAAGAGCCACCAAGGAAGAGCGCACAGTGCCTGGGGCGTGTACCTGCCGCAGCTTACCTCTGATAGGGGTGTCAGATCGAGATGGCTCTTTCCTCCAGGATGGGACAAAAACCTTGATGTAGGAGTGTCCTCTCTCCCTGAACCAGTCCACAGCCAGCTGGATTCCCCGGCAAGAGAAGGCTTCTTTATTTCCATGGCTATAATGGGAAAACAAAGAAAGCTGACGACACCCAGAGAGTGTTGGTTCCTAGGAGTGACTTCCCTGGAAACATTCTGGATCCAATCTCATAACCAAGAGGGAAGCAGGCAAATCTGAATTTTAAAGATAGTTCTCTGCATAAACTATAGCCTTTCATTAGAACCAGGCACCTGGTGTTACATACATACGGGATCCCTTGCTCCAAGGGGTAAATATTCCAAGGATTAATAGACCAGGTCAGCTCTTTAGCTAAGCTAAAAGGATCAACATAAAATGGAGCAGAGCCATCTGCAGGATTACTCTCACCCAGAGATGGTTATAAGTGCTTTATTGGGTTTCTCAAGTCCAAGCAGGGAGATCAGTGCCCCATCAATGCCACTGAAGACATTGATGAGGCAGCAAGGAAACAGCGGTGTGGGAACGGGCAGGGACTGGTGGGCCTCCTAAGAGGCCCAAGAAGCYCTGGAAGGATTCTAAGGCGGGAAGTAGATGTGATGTGGTGATGTGCCATGATCTGATGTACATTTCTCAAAGATCAGTCTGGCAGCACCAAGAGCAGGTATAGGTACCCGTTTAGAAGCTATAATAATTGACGGTGACTTGGACTCGGGAGCTGGTGTTGGGTGAGGGAGAGAGCAGGTGGACTTGAGAGGCATCTGGAGGGTAAAATCTCYAGAACTCCATTTCTGACTGGATACAGTGAAAGTGGACAGTGGGATGTTCCCTGGCACAGGGATTCTGAGAGGGAAAGATCACTTACAGGTTTGGTTTTGGACACCTACTGAGTAGAAGGCTTTGTGACCCCTGAGTGGAAACGCTAAGTGACCAGGGAGGGTCCAGGTGGTAAGTTCTAGGTCCACTGAGTTTAAACACTAATTGAAGCCACAGCATGGAGCAAATGATCTGACTGCCGGAGAGGAAGCAAGAGGTCCAGGCTGGCCACGAGGAACCCTGCGCTGAGTAGCTGAGGAGAGAGCAATCCTACCCAAGGGACAGAATGGATCTATAGAGGAAGAGGGAGCCAGCTGGGTGCTGTATCATGGAAGCCAGCGGGAGGAGGCAGCCAAATGCTCTCCCACGGACTGGCGAAGCCTGAAGGCATCCATCCAACTTAGCCAATGGGGGTCAGTGGTGTTTTGCTGGAGAGGGAGAAAATGGGTATATATGAGAAGGCAAATCAACTAGACTAGCCACAGAACCTTTGTACCAGCTATTCCTTCCTTCTCAGGCCATTCACTCTTCCTCCTCCTTCCAACCTCATCTGCACCTTTTTTTTTTTTTTGAGTTGGGGTGTCCCTGTGTTTCTCAGATGGTCTCAAACTCCTGGGCTCAAGCAATCCTTCTTGCCTCCTGCCTCCCCGGTAGCTGGGACCAAAGATGCATTGCACCTGCTCTGGGCTGCTTCTTCAATTCCTTGGGACAGTGTCTCCTGACCTCCTAGACTGTCATGTCCCCTGTTCCAAGCACCGGTAGTGCCATGCCACTGCTCCCTGGCACTTAAGAACGTTCGTCCTCAGCCAGGGGTCAACTGGGCCTCTCTCTGCTCTACATCACATGTCCCCCTTGATCACCACTGAGTTCCCAGCACCTGGCCCAGTGCCTGGTAATCGGTAAGGAATCAATTTGAATTTGGGGGTAGACCAATGACTGAGAAAAAAAAAAACCCAAAAACTAGCCGCGTCAGCAGCTGGAGAAGGAGAAGCCCAGAAAAAAGGGACAGTTCCCTGGAAAGACCCTGATGTAGGTGGGACACGGCATGCTCCAGGGACAGAAGCGAGAGCATGTGGAATGAACAAAGGGGAGACAGCGGCAGGGACAGGTGGACAGGTTCTTGAGAGCACAGGGTCCTGAGGCCTGAACAGAAGCAGCCAGCCCACTTCCAATGGGACCACACCCAGTGTCCCTCCTTCCCAGTGCTTTCCTGTGTGTGTGACCTTCCCTACAAGATTCTCAGGGGGCTCAGGACAGTCACAAGTTTGTAAAGCAAGAGAGGAAGGACGACCCTGGAAGCGCTGGTCAGCCGTGCTGGGTGGCAGGCCTGTGGAGCGGGAAGAAGCCACGTGCGCTGCCAGGCCTGGGACTCTCCTCTGGCCAAAGAGCAGGCCCTAGGAGGTGTGTGCAAACAGAAAAAGTGCTGATGGGACATGTGTGGAAAAAGGAAGAGGAGGTGGAGCTCTGACCCCCTGCCCTGCAGAAGGCAGAGGAAGATGGGAGGATGAGAGGACATTCACGTGGTCACTCAGCCCCTCGCCCCACCCTGATCCTCCCCGCTGAGCCCGAAGAGAAGGGGAAACATCAGAGCAGGTGTGAACAAGAGGAGGAAGCCTCCTGCGTTTCCCAGCTTCAAACCCCCCAGAGAAGCCWAGTGTCTGCAGGGCGGCCTTGGAGGGAAGTAGCTTATAGGTGATCCCACAGCGAGACCCAAGTCCCCTGCAGGCCCCAGGTGGGTTATAAGAATCCTAGGGTGGACCAGGAGGCACCTACCAGGAGGAAAGCATTTTAAGTCAGCATGGCCCCCAGGGAGCCTGGATGGGACCAGTGACACTCCCACCCTCACCCAGCCCCTCTCTCTCTCTCTCTCTCTCTCTCTCTCTCTCTCTCTCTCTCTCTCTCTCGCAGAAGAGCCCCGAGGGACAAGACCCCCTCTTCCTGCCAACACCAGGTCTCAAAGCCCCCAGAGGCCATTTGGGAGAAGAGCACAGGGAAGGAGGGGACACACGGAGCCCGAGTCCTCGGAAAGACAAGACACAGACATCTGCAGACCCTGGAAAATGTCAGGCTGCTCCTTCCCCTTCTGAAGAGCTGAGGAAGAGATCATGTCTGTCACAGGAGAAGAGGTGCATTTTCTGTGCACATGGCAGTACCGTGGGCCATGGACCACCCACCCTAGCACACGCATCTGTTGACTGAACCAATTCATTCTGTCCATTCCAAAGTGAAAATGTCCCTACGGCAGTTATTTTAAAGATCATTTGTTAACTGATCTCTTTCCCAGGGCTCTTCACGGATCTGTTTGAACCACTCAAAAGCCAACGTTCACTCCCGACATTTTCTGTGGGTATATGATTAGTGGGGGCCAGGGAGGACGTTCAGTGGTGAGGGAGAGGGAGGGAAAGAAGCCCTGGCAGAGCTCCCAGTCAGGCTGAAAGGCACAGACCGTCCCTCTGGGGCCCCTGTCGAGCATCCACTGGGAGACACAGAAGCCAAAGGCTCCCGTTCCTCTGTGCTTCCTCACAGCCCCTGCATGGATTCGTGGACATTTCCACACCAGGCTGTGGTCGGCCTGTCTGCCAGGTCACTTGGCACATTCATCTCATTTAGCCATTTGAGGAAGTGACCTGTACCCCCCATTTTACCCTTGAGGAAACAGAAGCAAAGAAATGTTCCTGGCTCTCTGTTGAAGTGTCAGACCTCCAAATGCAAACTCTCTTGGCCCCAAGACCCCTGAGATCCAGAGGGCAGCTCTTTTGGAGCAAAAATGTTGCCTGCGGTTTAAATGCTCTTGCTGAGCCAGGCACACGCCTATAACCCCAACGGCTCAGGAGGCTGAGGCAGGAGGACTGTGAGTTCAAAGCCAACCTCAGAAAAAAGCAAGGCCTAAGCAACTCAGTGAGACCCTGTCTCTAAATAAAATACAAAATAGGACTGGGGATGTGGCTCAGTGGTTGAGTACCCCTGAGTTCAATCCCCAGTACCCACCCCCCAAAATGTTACTGGGGTGGTGGCAGGGCCCTTCATGGGGTTATGAGCAGGCACCAGGAACCAGCTTCTCAGGCAGCCTGCTGAGAGGCCTAGGGGAACAGGAAAGGGGAAGTGGGTTGGCGCCTTAGGCAAATTTCTACTCGACAATTGTGCCTGGGGCAGCTGCAGATAGGGTGTTGTCATTTCCAGAAACTAATTGTACACCCCTATATCCCTGTATCTGTGTGGAATTTAGAGGTCACCAAACAGCCCTATGGGGAGGGAAGAAAGAAAGAGATGAACAATGGTCCMTTAGTGGTTTGAGATGTAAAAGGACACCACCAGTTTCACTCTTGTTTCTTATTTGAGGTCAAATTACCAGCATGTCAAACCTTGTCAGTGGATMTCTGCCAGATCCAGTCAGGGGAAAGAGAGAGGGTGAGCAGGGGCTGCCCGCATCWTAAGAGAACTAGGTGCAGACTTAGGTAGGAGCCCAAGGCTCAAGTTAGCAGAGGAAGACAGGTGGGATTTCAGCCTGAACTCTCTTCACTGAATGATTCCTTCCTCCAGAAGCCAGAGTCTGCCAGATGGTCTAAGTTTAAAAATTAAATAACACCCAAAACAAAAAGTCCAATACACCCCAAACAAGTCATGCTCAAATGGAACCCTCCTCTGGGGCAGGAAGAGGAGGTGAAGTTTACCAGGGGGCTTCCCACCAAACTCCACACTCCCAATCCCCCCTTGTTTCTTGATTTTCCTACAGGAGGTAAACAGGTTGGACACTTGTGAGTTTGCCACTCCCAACTCTCACAAAGAAATGCTGCACCCGTGGCTACCAAGAATCTGTGTTCTTCCAAATACCAAGATGCAGCTTCTAACAGGCTTTCAAGGAAAGCCACCTCTTTAAAACGTTGCTGCAGATTTTTCTTAAGGCCTTGTGTCCACAGTTATTCTCTCTCTCTCTTTCTGTCAAACACACACACACACACACACACACACACACACACACACACCTTGAAGGTACAGGAATTGTACTTGAGAATTGTCTCTGGGATGCTATTCCATCAGTGTCACCAATGAACGCCCACATGTCACCTGCAGGTCCCCAGTCTTGGTGGCAGCAGGAGTAGATCCAGGTTCTAGCCCTGCAGGCCCCTGGTGAGGGGAGTGGGGGCCTCACGCCTCCATCTACAGCTGCCAGGTCCAGGGCTCATCCTGCTTGGGCAGGGCTCTGGTCAGCACAGGCAGGCTCTGGCCCCAGGACAAAGGCCCAGGGTCAGGATCTCCCACCCTCTGGCCAGACGGGGGAAAGAGTCATTGGATGTGATGRGTGGCTTTGGAAACAGCACAAAATCCAGAGCTGGCACTTACTGCTTAATCCTCTGGGAACTTGGGAAAGTTATTCACTCTCTCTAAACCTCTGAAGAAAAAGAGAAATCCCTTTATAAAAGAAATTCCACTTATATCTTTCTACCACACATAAAATAATCACCTGGAATCTCAGCATATCAGAGATGAAAAAGCCAACCTCTTAATTATCCAGCTCTTAATCGTGTAACTGTGTGAACAGGACCCAAGAAAGTCAGGGATTTGCACAGCTGGTAAAGAAAAGTGAGAGCTCCTCTCTCCATGTGTGGCCTGTGGGCCTGGCTCCTGGGAAACCCCGTGCAGGATACAGAGACATCACAGTGGGAGAACGGGCAGGGAACCGAGTGCAACCTTGGACCCACCCTCTCCCAGAACTTGCGTTTCAAGGGAACAAATTTAGTTCCCTGAACAAGTGGTTATTGTGCAATTTCTCTTTTTCCTAACTATTGGGACCCAAGGGGCAGGGGGAAGGGATGTTTGTGGGCGTGTAAGCCTGTGTGTGTGCACGAGCGTGTGCAGGTGTTCATGCGTATGAATGTGCGTATGTGTGCACGTGCGTGCACCCATATAGAGAAGACATATTAGTTGATCAGGTGTTTTTTAGGCCCCAGGTGTGTGACAACATCCAGGCTCTAACACATTCTTTGCAGTATGTCTGAGTAATGGTTTCCATTTATATCCACAAAGATTGAGTGAGAGAGGAGCAAACTGATTACAGGTGTGAGACTGGAGCTGGAGGTGACGGGAAAAAAATGGATTCACCCAGGACATTTCATGGTCATGTGCAAGTAGAAGCTGTAGTGTAAGTTTGAATTCTAGGCAACAACAGAGACTCCCATCAAAAGAAAACCCTCCATGGCCACACTATCAGAAAACTAAAATTCTTCTCCAGCCCCCGAGGAGAGAATGCCTATGGCCTCTGAAGTCATCTGTTTTCCCTGTAGCTATTCTGCTGTTTTGACTTGGAACCGTGGACTCAAATAATCTTCTGGCTGGGAAGATCTTTGATTTATGTAATATCATCCTATAACCAAAACCCTCTTGGCAGGGCATGGTGGCACACACCTGTAATCCCAGCTACCTGGGAGGYKGAGGCAGGAGGATCAAAAGTTCAAGGTCAACCTAGGCAACTTAGTGAGACCCTGTCTCAAAATAGAAATTTTTAAAAACAGGGTTGGGGAATGTAGCTGCTGGATTCTAAAATTACTTAAATGATCCATAAATCTTAAACTTAGCAGGATTTCATAAACTCCCCTGTTTGGTGCTTGCTGGGGATGTGAGTTAGAACATGAGCRTGACCTGGTGGAGCAGCTCCTAAGTCCAAGAGGGCAGCGGGGACTCAGTCACCTGCTAATATAACCAAGCTCAGAGAGATGGAGCTGTCTAAAAACACACCACGGTACACACCACGCAGGGTGTATAGGGACAGTCCCTGAGGCTGGGCTGTGTGGGATGAACCATTTCAAACTTGTGTCCTGCAATGCCAAGTCCAAAGTGAGCTCCAATCCCCAGGGACAGCTTGGGGATGCCTGACACTTTTGGAGCCGCTGATAACTGCTTTTCCAAGCTCCTACTCAGCTTCTACAAAAGGAAGTGCATGTGTGTATAGCTGTGAGTGAACAATTTCCTATGACTCTGCCCTTTGCCTGCCTGTAACTAAGCCAAGTGGTAGAATAATCCATTGGTTTGGGCAATGCCCCTCCTCACCAGCTCGAAGTGCAGGAGGCTGCAGACTGGCAGTGGAGTTCAGTCAAGCTGGCACCATAACCACATAGGGCATGATGCTCACACCCCTGAAACACAGGAAGATGCCAAGACCCAAATGGGCACACTGCCTCTCCGCAGCATAAGGCAGGAGGGGAGGACCACAGACACTTCTGTCAAACCTAGCAAGGGGACTGCAACCTCACCACCCAGCAACCCCCAGCAGAGGGTTCCCAGCGCCATTCAAATGCTTCTTCTCCTCTGAGTCTCATAACCCAGAGGGAGACAGAATTGACCTCTTTTGCAGAAGAGGAACTGAGTAGTTTTGCTTTCCCAGAGTCACGCAACCAGTTAGGGACAGAGTCCAGAGAAAAAGCCACATCTGTTAACACCTGACCCCAAGTCCTCCCCATTACCCACTACCTTCCCCAGAAGAAGCAGCTCCTCTGGTTGAGTGTAATAATAGCACCCATTTGAACACTCACTCTGCATCAGCTCCAATCCTCACAACACCCTCCAAAGAGGGTGAAATCCAGCATTACAGAGGGAGAAAGTGAGGCTCAGAGAGATTCAGTGACATACTTAAGGCCACACAGCTACTCAGGAGATGTAATAGATTCAAAGCCCAATCCACTAGCTCCAACAGTCTTTGGACCAAACCMAAGAGAAGGGGTGGTTCTCAGGGCTCCTGAGAATAGGTCCCTCACCCTGCCTCCCACCGTCGGTTGAAAGAAATCAGGAAAGCTACCTCATTGCCACATTGCTGCCGTCGATCACTATGGGACGCAGGGAGCTGGCCAAGTCTCCACAGTCCTCTTCTAGGGCTGACCTCAAGCCCCGCTGGGCAGAGTCTGGGACTCCACAGGAGCCCCGGGGAACGAGCAGAGGCCCAGTGCTGCTGGCAGGGCTCTCCTGGGCCCCAGGGCGGCTGCCCGTCTGGATCAGTTCCTGCAACACGTCGTTGACCAGGGCACCGTCTCCCAGCTTGCCCAGCACCCTGACCACATCCTCCCGGCTGTAGCCCAACTTCTGGAAGAACTCCATCTTGCTCGGGCGCTCCATACTGTGCCAGCCACCTCCTGGCGTGGGTCCTGCCCCCAGCTTCCTCCTGGCAGAGCCCCACGGGCATGAGCTAAAGAGAAAAAGTGCCCATCAGGTATTTTCCGGGCAGTCTGGCACCCAGGATGCCAGGTGACCGAGAGCAAGTTGTATATGTGCTCCCTCCCTCTGACCTTATCTGTCAGGAAATCATGTCAAGCCTAGTCCCCCGTGGGGATTTTTAGTTGCTCAGTGTGGTTTGTGGAGTCACAGATACAATCACACTGCTTCTACTATGCATTCTCTGTGGCTGTCACCCCAGCGCACCTGTGCAGGGAACAACAACCCGACCCCAGGGTGACAGGGGCTGAGCAGGGTACCCACAAGTCGGGACAGGCCAAGGAAATATTTCTGAGGCTTTGTTATAGGTTGAATGGTTTCCACCCAAATTCCCATGTTGAAGCCCTTAGCCTCACCCCGCTGTACCTCAGAGCGTGACTGTATTTGGAGACTGAGCCTTTAAAATGAGGTTGTTAGGGTAGGCCTCCTCCAATGACTGTGTCCCTGCAAAAGGAAATTTGGACACAAACACACATGGAAGACGACCACATAAAGATTCAGGGAAAAAGGCAATCATCTGTGAGCCAAGAGTCAGGGCTCAGGAGGAGCCAGCCCTGAGATCACCTGGATCTGGGACAGTGGATTTCCAAAGTTCCTGCTCCAGAACCTGGTGCTCTGTTAAGGCAGATGAACACAGGCTCCTGGGTTTACACAGGGAGAAATGCTCTCTGGAAAGTTCTATCTCCCGAAAGGCAATGCTCCCACCCCACCATGTGCTTTGGCACAACTTTAATTCAGACCACACTGAACCTTGAAGATAGAAAGTCCTAACCRGTATTTGACAGTTTCCCCTCCAGGTACCCCTGAGGATGATGGGAGCAGGGACTGTAGCCTCAGAGATGCTGTCAGAAGGGACATGACTAAACCAATAGGAACACTCCAGACAGACTGGGCCTGTCTCTCTTTTCTACCGCAAAGACCTTCATCTTACACCTTTCAAAAAACATTTAGAAATACAGATGTAACTTTGAAAACACATTTTCTGTGAACAATTTGAACAATGTCAAAATATAAAGAGCAATGCACATAGCACATCCGTAGTGCCTCTCCTGCCAATGATCTGCTCCTTCTCTCTAGCACTTTCTCTGCCCTGCTCTGCATGTTACCAGATAACAAAGCCGGCTTTAGAACTGTTTTGCTTGATTTGTACGGAAATGACACCATACTGTATATAAAAGCAATGTACTTTTCTTATCAAAAATGCATTTTGGAATCTTTCCTTGCCAGGTTACCTGTACTGCTGACCACTGTGTATGCCCAGCATCTAGAACAATGCCTGGCACAGCCGAATCCCAATGCATAGTTGTAAATTAAATGAATGAATGGTGCTCTCCAGCGTTTAACCCTAAATCAAACCATGGAAACCATAGATTGCCTTTGGTTTTTCACTGTTAGCAAATCCTGCACGCTGAAGATATTTGTGCATCTTCTTTTCACCCCATCCTCTTCTCGGCATTTCGAGCTCCTCACCTTTAGATGCTATCTCTGATCTGCAGCAGTCATGCCTCTGTGGTAGGTTCCCACCTCAACTCTCCCTGTAGTGCGGGAATCAGAGCATGGCTAACAATGTCAGGGTTCGGCGGGGGAAGGACATTCCACAGCCAACTTTCTGGGCAGAGAGGCCTCCACTGCAGCCCCCACCTGCCTGCTTCCATCCCACCTCGGCCACTGACAACGGGCCTCCCAAATGAAACACTAAATCTCTCCCCCAAGGTCACCAGTTCCTTCTAACTGACAATCCATTCGAATCTTCACAATCCTTGCCTAYGACCTCCCTGCCACTTTTGACACCGTGGACTCACTCACTCTCCAAATTGTCATTTTAAATTTTTAAAATTATGAGCTGTCCCCAACTTGAAACTCTCTGCTCCCCCAGGTTGCATAACTTGGCCTGCCTCTCCTCCTGTATGTTTCCAGCTCTTTCTCTGCTCCCTCCATCAGTGTTGGGGTCCTGCCCAGGCCCTCTACCCGTCCCTATATTCCCATGGGTCCCGCAGCTTCACATCTGGCTGCCACCTCTTATGGAGCACCAGGCACACACACAGTTATAAAYCCATGCAGTACATGCCAGGCATGCGGTTTAAGCAAAATGCAACAGAACTCAGAACGCTGTCGTTCAACAGACGTTTGTTAAGTGTCTAGTTTTTCTCAAAATGAACTCCAGGGAAACTTGGGAGACCCCAAGCCATTTTCAGGGAGTCTGCGAGGTAAAAACTACTTTCATAATAATGCTAAGATATAATTTGTTTACTTCATTCTCAACCTCTCAAGAGTATACAATGGAATATTCCAGAGACTACACGCTGTGGATATTGCAGCAGTTTAAATGAAGAAGCAGATATGAGAATCCAGCTCTCATCTATTAAAAYAGATATTAAAGAAACTTGCAAAAAATAAGTCAATGCCACTCTTCTTACTAATTTTTATCTTTTGGGAAATAGAGTTATTTCTCATAAAAGCATATCATTTAATATAATCAATTTATTGCTATTTAAAAATAAATGAATTTAAAAATTAGTTTCTAATAAAGTAGAGAGATATAATCTTCATAAGGAAAAGCTCTTGGGGTCCTAAAAAATTATCTAAGAGTACAAAGGGTTCTGAAAATAAAAGTTTCTTCTTAAATCCAGACCGTTCCTAAGATATTTCCACATATGTGGTTCCATGTAGGGAGACTGAAGATGGGTGACCCTCCTCCTCTGTCCCAGGCAAGAAAGCCCAGTACGTCCCCCCTCTGTAGCTCACCTGCCCCYCACCTTACTCTGAAGTCTCCTTGGTTCCTTCCTCACCCATCTGCCTGTGGCTGACTTGGAGCCAGCATTTCTAACACAAATCTAGCCACAGCAGCCCCTGCCCACGGGTGTCCTCCCACCCTGGGCCCTTGATGACTACACCATAGATGCCAAATTCCTAAGCAGGCTGAGCAGCTGCATCCCGTATGCTCTGACCCTGACTAAGTCACAGTCACCAATGGCCCACCTGGCCCTTTCTCTAGAGACACACTGAATTTATCCCTGTTTCCTAAGTATTCCAGAATGTTCTCATGCACATACTCTTTTGGGCTTCGCAAACATCAAGATTCAGCTCACACATCACTTGGAAAGGGCGTGTGAATGTGACCCTGGTCATCTCATCTACCACAGCCCATGACCTTGGCTATCACACATCAAATCATCATGTATGTGTTTCTCAAGAGACTGAAGGATTCACATTCTGACCTACTCATCTCTCAGTCACCAGTACCTGGCATGGTGCCTTGTGKATTTAAGGGGTTTATTAGATTTTTCTTTAATAAATCACCAAAATATATATTCTCTCCTCAAATATATTTTTCTCCTTGGGTTCCCAATCTGATTGAACAGCAGCCCCCAGAGGCCCAAAGAAAACATCTGGAAGTCCKGTGACTCCTCTCTCTCCCTCACATCTACAACCCATGGGTCGTTACCTATTTCTGGGCAGTTCCCATAACTAACCTCCCTCGGTGCTCATTCTGCCACCGCCCAGGTCCACTCACTTCTTCCTGGAACAAATCTTGATGGATCACTTACTCTGCACCAGCACTGTGCCGGGGCCCAGCTCCATAAAAACAAAACAAGACACAATCCAGTTTCAACTTGTTCACAGTCTACTCAGGAAAAACAGAACCCAAAAATGTAAACAAGAAATTGTGAAGATAAGGACAACTCTTTTGATTTAAAAAAAAAAAGTGCATTCAAAATACAAGTGCGAAATTACTTGTCTTCCATTGAAGGCAAGGACGGGCCCCTCACGGAACTGGGTAACAAAGGAAGGGCTGCACCATCACCCTGGGGACTCCTGGGAGGCCTCTGATGGTGCTCCAGCACCCCACTTCACCACTCACTGCACCCCACCCAGACAGTACATGGCTCAAACACTTCCACGTCCCTCCACACTGTGCAGAGTAAAGGCCAAAGCTCTTCTGCGTGGGAGTCATGCCCTTGCAATCGGGTTTCATCTACCTCCTATCTCTTGTCCACAGGCCTCTGGTGGAGCCTTGTGTCTCTCTGTGACTAGTGACCACTTCTTTCCAGACCATTGTCCCCTCTGGCTGGGGTCTAGCTTTGGACCAAACTCCAGGCAGGAAGAAGATTTTTATAACAAACGGACAGGCCAGCTTCACACCAGGGGTCACRCAGTGACCCCAAAGGCCTTTATTTAGGTTCCTTCTCCCCACCTAGAACATGGGCCCCTCCCCCAAGCTAAGCCCACTCCTGTGGGAAGGCAGCATAGATACAGGTGTTCTTCTTACCCAGATGAGGAAACAGAGGCTCAGGTTGGAACAGAATGATGGTTCTATAGCTMATAAATCTCAGAGCCTGACAATCAGTATGTCTCCAAAATAGCTTGTCAGTTTGAATAGCCCTCAGGATGAAGGTGGCATCTCATTGCAAAAATGGAAAGCAAGAATACAACTGTTCAGCTGGGCGTGGTGGCGCACACCTGTAATTCCAGYGGCTCCAGAGGCTGAGGAAGGAGGAGAGTGAGTTCAAAGCCAGCCTCAGCAAAAGTGAGGCACTAAGCCACTCAGTAAGAACCTGTCTCTAAATAAAATACAAAATAGGGCTGGGGATGTGGCTCAGTGTTCAAGTGCCCCCGAGTTCAATCCCTCGTACAAAAAAAAAAAAAAAAAAGAATACAACTGTTCAGGTGACTTTTCTTTGCTCACAAAGGAACAGATATGAGTAGAGTTTGTTTATTTTATAATCTTTCATTCAGATGTGACAAAAACATGAACAATTCTAAAATGAAAAGAAGTGGTCTTTGACTTGGGCAGGCAGGCAGAGTGACCACACCAGGTCCTTGTTCACAGCTGAAGTTTTCCAYGAAGTCCAGAAGTTACCACCCAGGGCTCCTTTTCTGAGGATTGTCAAAAAGATTATGCATGGGACCAGACAGCTGTTTTCACACRAAATTAACACAAAGAATTCACCTACTTCGGAGAGTCCT